TGTGAGAGTATGTGTGTGTGTGAGTATGTAGTGTGTGTGAGTATGTGTGTGTGTGAGAGTATGTGTGTGTGTTGAGAGTAAGTGTGTGAGAGTATGGTGTATGTGTGTGCCGTATGTGTGTGTGAAGTATGTGTGTGTGTGAGTATGGTGTGTGTGTGAGTATGTGTGCGTGTGAGTATTGTGTGCGTGTGAGTATGTGTGACGTGTTCGAGTATGTGTGACGTTGTGAGTATGTGTGCGTGTGAGTATGTATGTGCGTGTGAGTATGTTGTGCGTGTGAGTATGTGTGCGTGTGAGTATGTGGCGGTCTGTTGAGTATGTGTGTGTGTTGAGTATGTGTGTGTGTTGGAGTATGTGTCTTAGTGCGTAGTTCTCCCTGGAGTATGTGTGTGTGTGAGGTATGTCGTGTGTCGTGAGTATGTGCATGTGTATGGTATGTGTGTGTTGGAGTATGTGTTTCTGTGTGCAGTATAGTGTGTGTGTGAGTATGTGTGTGTGTGAGTATGTGTGTGTGTGAGATGTGTGTGTGTGTGAGTATGTGTGTGTGTGAGTTATGTGTTGTGTGTGGTATGTGTGTGTGTGGAGTATGGTGTGTGTGAGTATGTGTGTGATGTGAGTATGTGTTGTGTTGTGAGTATGTGTGTGAGTGTGAGTTATGTATGTGTGTGAGAGTATTGTGTGTGTGAGTTATGTGTGTGTGTGTGAGTATGTGTGTGTGTGAGTATGTGTGTGTGTTGTGAGTATGTGTGTTGTGTGTGAGTATGTAGTATGTGTGTGTGAGTATGTGTGTGTTGGTGTGTGAGTATGTGTGGTGTGTGAGTATGTGTTGTTGTGTGTGAGTATGTGTGTGTGTGTGAGTAGTGTGTGTGTGTGAGTATGTGGTGTGTTGTGAGATGTGTGTACTCTGTGTTGATGTATGTGTTGTGGTGTGAGTATGATGTTGTGATGTGAGTATGTGTGTGTGTGAAGTATGTGTGTGTGTGAGGTATGATTGTGTGATGTGCGCAGTCACTCTGTGTGTGTTGAGACGTTATGTGTGTGTGTGCAGTATTCGTGTGTGTTGAGTATGTGTCTGTGTTGCTGAGTATGTGTGTGGATACTCTGTGAGTATGTGTTTTGTTTGCAGTATGTGTTGTTGTGGAGTATGTGTGTGTGTGAGTATGTGTGTGTGTTAGTATGTGTTGTGTGTGAGTGTGTGTGTGTGAGCTATTGTGTGTGTGTGTTGAGTATGTGTTCAACGGTTTTCAAATAAAATATTTCATATTGTTATGTGTAATAAATACACGTTCCATTACACGAAGAAAAATACTACACGTGCGGACATCGGGGTTCCAGCTTTCCAAGAACACTATTTGTCAAGATTGACCGAGTGCGTGATTGTGTGTGTGAGTGCATTCAAAAAATGAATGTTTGTATGACGTTACAAAATTACTATTCGCTCAAAAACTAAACATTTCAGAAATATTCGAAGTATTTAATTCTTATTATATAATATTTTAAAACATTAAAAGGTAACCTAGATTCATCAGCCATACTTTTCACTAAATGCTAATAATATTGGATGCTAGCAAGTCAATATTTTTCTGATTCGAGGCAGAAATTGGTTTAATGCACATGCATTTTATTAGAACCGATTTATTAATTTACCAAAAATCATCAAAAAGCGATAATAAAATCAAAATTGAAGCGGTGGGTTTCGATGCCCCTCCTCCCCCTAGTTTTGTTAGGGTTAAATGTGTAAATTGCTGAACAAACAAACGCAACTTCCGTGACCCCGCCCCCTTCTCGCAACGGCACAGACCGAGGGCAGCATGGATTCTTAATATATCCGCCCCCCTTCCATGGCTTGGCACGCGCCGCTCATGCCTCTCGATGACGCCACGCGCTCACTCTCAGCGTAACACACTTCCAAATACGCGAGCAACGCCAAGTTCACCACTAAGGAAAACTAATTGTCCACCTCTATTAATTATGATTTTATTGTCTCATGTTTTATTACCATTACTATTATTATTACTCTTATTGTTATTATTTTATTATTACAATTATCATTGTTATAATAATTATTATTTTCCCTTGCACCGTTTGCTGGTACATGATAAACTGATAGTACTGATCGCAGAAGCCACATCTATCAAGGCATGACTAACAAATTTTTTGCGCAACTTTACGTAACTTATACCTAAAGGTCAAAATATTGACAACATTATTTATTGAAATTAGACTAATATTGCAAATATTGTCACTAGAACTCAATCTTGTAATTATATACCACTAATCAGTTGTACATACATGAAAATGGTACAAAAAATGTATTTTAAACATGTGAACTGAATATATGAGATGAACATCTGATATTTATAACAAATGAACTGAGCATATTGAGAAGATAGATGATATTTTTACGGCAACATTTGAGAATTTTCTCCTGTACCAGGCGGAAAAAATCTTTCTAATTAAAAATTCAATGATTCCAATAAAATTCTAAAAAATGTTTTTGAAAAATTTAGCCAATTTCACATGAATGAAATTTATATGGAAATTCATTCGGCCAATTCAATGGTAAAACAACAACATGTCCTTCGTTACTAGGATAAAAGGGGGAAGGAATCTAAAACATCCATAAAAAATTTTTTTCGTGGTCACAACTCTTAAGAAAATATTTATTTTCGATTTCAAGAAGGGGAACTTTTTACCATCTTATTCGGCTAGAGACTACTATTTCTGAAGGATGGGAAGTTTGTGGAACGGTACGTGGATTCTTCCACAAAAAATTTCTTTGGGGATATGATCCTGTGATCCGTTTAAATTTTATTTATTTATTTATTACAAATGTTCGTTTTACCATTGTTCCCGTCGGGAGCCGCCGGTTAATGCGTTCCAAAGAAATTTGAGTTTGCTCCGTGGTGATCAAGGCATAGTAACAATGGATCACGTTCATAAATCCGTTTATTACAAGGATAATACCGTTGTTTGAAAAGAAAAAAAAAACTTGGTTAATACAAAGAAATAAACAAAAATTAATCAAATTCTATCAAGCCGTCTGTACCATTTCAATATTTTATGCTCCAGAAATCGATGAAAGCACCGATGTAACAAACTCCTTCCGACGATTCATTACTTTCCCGAATACGTACGTATACACGGAGTAATATGGAGAAAGTTACGTAATGCTGCGGAAAATCGATTTCGAGATTTCAACGGAAATACACGTTTTGGGGTCCCCTGATGCCTAAAAAGTAGATTTTTTCAAAACGTCCGTCCATGTCTACATATACTGTACCGTGTCTACTAACACTACTAGCGCCTAAACCATGCGTAGAATTTTTTTCTAAATTGAAGAAACCTGTGTGGTTCTGGCTCGACTTAATTCTTTGAAATTTTGAAAAATAAAATCTTTAAAATTTGGGGGTGCTTTACATGACACCCACGAACATTTTCAAAATTTTATGAAAAATGTCTCCAAATTTTTTCTTCAAATTCTTGCAGGAAAAGAATAAAATATACTTATAAAGGTGGCATAGGTCAGAGTTGCAGGTTTAACTCTGGTTTATCGAAAATTTCATTTTTTCCAACAGATAGTGCTAATTGCACTGTTTAAGATGACAGTATTAATTTTGCTGTATTCATTTGTTGTTGTTTTTTCGAAAATTACACAAAAGTAATTTTTTGAAAGATCTCACACGCCTTTAATATGCACATTTTCAGCAACTAGTAAACACGATTGCATTTGTAACGAAGAGCTTGAAATGACGTCATATTAAGTTTTTCGAAAAGCTCAATATTTTTCTGTGAACAGGAGCTTCAAATTTCGAATTTATAGTAGTGCTTAAATGCCGTTTTTCAATGAAAATTGCTATTTGGGACGAGGTGTTACTATTCTTTAATATTTTTAAAGTAATTATTCGATTCTACTATTAGGCAGCCGAAAAATTAAGAAAAGTTTTAAAACATGGACCATAGGCGGTGATAGATGGCAACTGGCAAGAGTATGTGACAAGTCCGAATAGCTTGCTGAGCCAAATGGAAATAGAAATCTAATACGGGAAAGTCTGTGCCATTCTGTAGCTCTACTAGTTTAAGATAACGGAAGAATTTTAGGCATCGACTTAAGGACACCAATTACTTGCGAGATTTGTTAGGGGCATTTACATAGACATTGGATCGCTTCTTGTTGTAACTCAATTTATCACGCTTAACAACATATGGTGCTCCAGCGGGGTTTAGTAAAACTGATTGAAAATGAATGTTGCAAAGTTTGTATACGTATATGGTAAAATTTCATAGCATCAGTTATCAAGAAATCCTGTTTTGTTAATGTCATGATAGCTTAAAATGGAACCTGCCACGAAGGTGGTCATCAAAACAGTGAACTTTACGTTTACACTTTCGGTAAGATTAATAATATACCGTAAAATTATTTATTTTATACTGGCTGTAATATCATAAAGGTGTGTGTTTTTCACGCATTCTGGAGAAATGAAAATATTGCTTTCTTTGAAACGGTGTAGTAGGCTATTGCCCTATGACAGAATTATATTTCCGCAATATTTCTTCACCTTACGTTGAAAATACTTAGGCATTCTTCCTCATTATATTCAAAGTTCAGGAAACTACGGGTAAACAATCTCAGGGCCTTTAAGCCATATTAAGCCATTCTTTTTGGACCGGATGAGTTGGAGCAGAACCAGCATTACCAATGTCTCTGCAGCGTCTCCCTCCGGCAAGACCTAGGGTTCGAGTCCTGACGGTGGTGTATTTTTGACATAGCTAGGTCGAATTCAGCCGCTGCCTGGAGGATAATTCTAGCGGCCGGCTACAATGATCGGTAGTATTCCGTAGTTTTTCAGAACACCCGGCGAATACCAGAGCATTACCCCCAACAAATGGACCATTCGCAATCAATCTTTGTGTCCTCATCCTCAGCCGATAAAACGAGGATGAGGAAGGAAAGATTCCCCTTTCGCGGGGAGGCCATTCGGGAGCGAGGCAAGGCTGACCTGGTGCCGGAGCTGCGCGTCGGGCTGGTCGCCGGTGACGAAGACCTGGCGCATGAAGGGCTCGCTGTTGCGCGCCACGTCGCCGATGCCCGCGCCGTCCGTGGGCACGGTGCGCCAGCACAGCACGCGCAGCGCGCACTCGCCCGCCAGCCGCTCGAACGCCGCCTCGCTCTCGCGGTGGTGCGTCTTGTCCAGGTAGAAGATGCCCGTGGCGTAGCGCCCGAACGCCGGCAGCTGCACGTTCTGCTGCTCCCTGCAACACACCACACCCACGAATGCCCTTTACAGTCATTTTTCCATCGCTTTTCGTCGGCGCTGAAAAGGGTTGGACCACGCTCTCCGTAATTAGTACGAAAACAATTACGCTTTCTTCATTTCTCGGTACAGATTCCACCCAGTTAGACTACCGCGCTCATAGCGTCACGTTGCGGAACTTTTCCTCGTTTGTTATCAATATGGTGCGATTTATTCCATTTTTTGTCGCGTTGAGAGCGTTGTAATGTGTTGAATGGAAACGCATTTTGCGTGGTGAGAAATAAAACACGCAATGTATTCTAACGTCGCCTCGTCCAGTGCTCGGACCTAAAAACCTAACTTAATTTGTCACCACTGATTCGATGTTCAGCCGTTTGATTTCCAGCTCTTTTTCGGCGTCCAGGGGAAATATTTCGATCACGAGTACGTGCAGGAATCAAAATAACAGTGTAAATGGTGGAGGGGATGTCAATCATTTCGAAGCGGAACTACTGCACAAGACCCGTTACTAGCAGAAGAGCAGTGACTGTCCATTAGTGATGCGACATCGATATCTGTTTAAACAAAAAGCATCCATGTTTAAACAAAAAGCATCCATGTTTAAACAAAAAGCATCCATGTTTAAACAAAAAGCAGCTAAGTGTTAAAGCCGATGTTTTTTAACATCGATGCTTCGAGCACGATGTTTTTATGTCTTCGATTTTGAAACGGTATATTAATCACAATTTTATATGAGAAATTATTCACATTTAACTGGCGATTCACGAGTTCGAGCGGCACGGGCCTTCATCGGGCAGAGCAGAGCAGAGCATCTCTTGGCTGAGCGATAACTCCGATCCCCTGGTATCTCCTACGCCTGTCTTCGTATCACGCGGCGTATGCGTCGTCGTAGGCGTAGGTCGGTAGGCGTCCCCCTTCTTCCCGTTCCCTTTGCGGCGAACCGAGGAAGCTCTGCACCCCTGCGATGACGCTTTCAGACTCGGTCTCTCGCGACAACTTGAAGTTAGTAGATGTCAGAGCTATTCGTGAACAAACTACTCTTATAATAAAAGTTTTGTTAAATGTCATGATTTTTTTAAACTTTTTTGGCTGTTAAATCTTAATTAAGACATTCAATACGACCACTAGTATCGAAAAAACAACTAGACGCTATTAAATCAGATTTGAGACATCGATGTCTTGAGATATCGACGTTGTTATCAATGTCGCATCCCTAGTGGCCATCAGGTTGGACATATTCTCGCCCCCAGCGTTTTTATCTTTTCTCACACCTCGAGATATTCGTCCGGACAGCATTATGCCTATCACAGCGGCTCAGAGTTGCAGGAGACTGTCAAACACTGGGACATCTCCCAGGTGGCAGACTTCTGCGAAGGAAAATGGTGCAATTTGTGCTTTCTACTACAATTTTCTTTTTGTTGACCACCTACGAAAACTTGGGCACTTTTCTCCAATCGTATCGAACGAGGGGAAAACGGTTGACTACAGCGAAAACGTAGCAAACGTCAACACGCACCAGCGAGCATTGTATTCGTCGTATTGATAACCTGATACTTTTAGGCGCGGTGACGCTTCGATATGAGTTTCCAATTTCATGTCGAGGCTTCGGCCTACGCTATTAACGTAAAAACTTGTTCGACCTGCCCAACGCATTTTATTTCGAAGAAATTTTTTTGCCGAACACTTTACTTTGCACTTGACACTTTTCTTCGCGGGTCTAAGGTTCTGGCTTTCGGCCAACGCGTTTAACACAGTACTTTAAGGACGTAAAAACACATTCCTAATATTATTTACAAATAATTCCTTTACTGTTTTGTTCTCCGAAGCAGAGATACCCGTGGAAAGTGCTTTTCGTATTTTTTCAAATTCGTCGCTCCTCTATATCACTTCACCTTTATGCGTTTTTCAAGACCAAGAGCACTGTTGGGAGTCGAGATGTCATTAGCGTCATTTGTGAACTGCGAGTGTCTTTCAGGTGACGGACGTCTCGCGAAATAAGGGCCTGACAATCTAAAATCGGGCGCGATCACTGGACCGAACACGATACATCATTCCATCCATCCTAATTCCAAAAATTTATACATTTGTGTTTTGTTTGCATCCCAAGAAAGATATTTTCTTCGACAAAACTTAGAACTAATCTGCTCTTCGATTCACTATAACCAAAACCTTCTGCACATTAAAGAAGACGAATAGTTACACTGCTGTGCAGAAACGAAGTGTTTTCCAGGAAAATGTCATACGAAATATTTGCTCACCTAACCGATTGATATACTGTTGAGTTTTTCCTCTCTGTATTGTACCTCCATCTCATGACTTACGACACAGAACGCCCTCGTTCCCGCCGCTCGGTCTCCTACCGGGAAAGGTCGCCCCGGGCATCAACTGATGCAGGGCGTCCGACAGCGAGGTCCCGGGGCGCGAGTGGGCCGACAGTGGCAGGAGTCTCAAGACCAACTGCGCAGCTGGGACGAATTCAGCCGCTGTCTGGAGGAGAATTCTAGCAGCTCGGTGCTCTAATTCTTAGTATTACGTGCTTTCTCCGATTAACACCAGGCGAATGCCAAAGCAGTACCCTCTCAAACAGGCCACGGACCCCGCGTTAACTTTCCATTTCTCTTCCTTGTTCTATCGTTTTAAAACGTATTTCTAGACTTTTTCGATCTAGTCGATTTAACTCATTTTAAGTTTTTATGATTTTTCTAACCGTGTTAGAATCGGAGTGAACAATAATTGTAATAAATAACACGTTTAAATTACACTATTGTTTTTACTTCCTAACTAGCCAAAAGTTTCTTAAAACTACTGGTGCTACATAATGGCTTAGACTATGTCGTAGCAAAGTTTTCATATTTTTTTGGATGTGGGCTAGCTTTACGCCCTTGCCACATCCTCTTGCCAGCTGCCATTATCGCCGCCTAAAATACATTTATTTTAAACTTTCCTCAATTTTTCAGAAGAATTTTTATGATAGAATTGTAATATTACTTTAAGAATATTAAACAAGAGTAAAGCCTCGTTCTAAATGGCAATTTTCATTGAAAAATGTGAAGCCGTTTTTAAGAAAATGGTGTTTAAGCGCTATTGTAAATAAGAAATTTGAAGCTCCTTTTTACAGAAATATTTTGAGTTTTTGAAAAACCATTTGAAACATTCCAACTCAAAAATGCAATAGTGTTTACAAGTTGCTGAAAATTTGCACATTAACGGCGTGAGATAATTTATTGAAATAATATAATATTTTTTTGAAAAACTAAAACAACAAAAGAATATTTAAAATGAACTTTACGTTATATTAAACAGTGAAAATAGCACAATACGAGGAAAACGTTTGAAGAAACAATTTTGAGTCATCTTTGAGAAAGTTACGTTTGAGCCTCTATAAAAATTAAAATTTGAGCCAATTGTCGCATTAAACGTGAGTTTTCGAGAAACTTTATATGACATTATTTAAAGCACATGTACTTATACATACAATAATATGAAGAAATCGCTAATGAAAATATTCACGACGTGAGAGGCAAGTAAAAACATTTTTCTTGTAATTATTGAAAAAACAAAAGAATAGAGCAATATGGCGTTTATGTCATCTTATTTCATCTGGTAGTACCTACTCCAACCCATTTCAAATGATTATCATTGCTTCGTTTAGTACAATGGTCCCCAACAAGGTTGGCAACGACCCCTTGGGGTCAAATACATTTTAAAGGGGGCAATGAAGATTAAGGGGTCGACTGGAGGTCGATATGCGAAGATGAACCGGCGACAAATTAGGATAACCAAAATCATATTTATTACAAAAGAATATTAATGAAGCTGATAATTAATTTGCTATGAAATATCTAATAATGCATACAAACCGTTAATCGTTGGACGCATCCGGATGTTTACAAATCTCAGGGACAAAACTATCCATCATTCCATGCATGCATGCATCCGTCCATCCATCATTCATTCAATGCATGCATGCATCCGTCCATCCATCCATTAAGATGAAACCCTGCGGGACCTCCGTACTCTATGAGCAAAGATTCGGAAAGATGAGTTGTCTCATGATGACGATATTTCTACTCTTTTAGATGATTTCTTAAGGTACGAAGATATTCAGTCTAGGATAATGACACGAGTTCCAAACTTTTGAAAGTATGGATGCAAAATTGGGCAAAATTTCGCCAATTGACCGGAAAAAACACGTCCACTTTCGGGAAGAACATACATTTTGCGTGTTTCAACCCAATGGGCGTATTTTGTTGTATAGTACCGCCTTTTCCTAAAAATTGTGCAAATGTTTGTCTTCTGAAAGATATGCTCTTACGCCAACGAATTGTCTACGCTACGTTTTATTTCGGCCTCCCTCAAATGTGCAGCTATTATGAAAATACCTAAGAGGCAACTTCTTTATTTCAATTGGCATACAACCGTGCCTACCCATTTCTAAAAGGTAGATATTAATAGCTTAAGGTAGTCAGGTTTTATGCACAAGGGTATTTTGTTTTAAACATCTTGAGATAGTGCAGCTATTTTGATATTATCAGTCCCAGTGTTAGAGCTCGCTCTGTTCATCATTCCGGCATTTGGCCAATTTTTATATCCCTCCGATGGCGGATTTTCACAGTACGGATCTTACAACCCCATTTTAAAGCAAAACTGGATGGTCATTGACGTCAAATGCTTTGGAAAGATCGAGAGATTCACGAGATTATTGGTATACGGAATTGGCATATTTAAGTCATTTATGCGTTCTCTGTATTCAAGTTTAAAAATATTTTTTGTATTAAAATAATGATAAGAAACTAGCAGCAAATTAGGTAGAAACCTAAGAATCAGAGTCGAACTAAAAACAGTACTCTTTCATGCATAACTATAATCACCATCTTTTTATTAACTACACTCTACACAATGTTAAGTCCTAAACATATTTGGAACATTTTCATCCACCTTATCCGACATTTTCACTTTGATGTGCAGGGAGGAGGGGGCAGGGCACCTGGGACCTTG